AGGCAAGTCATGCAAGATGCTGGTGGGTATCCATATTTGTTCATGTGATGCTACCAAAGACCCATAAAATCCCCCACCATCCGAAAAGCTTTCCATTATTTTGTTTTTTTAAAAAAAATCGGTTGTTTGAAGCTTTGAGTTTCTTTGATCTTATCGTTACCTACTTTTATTTATTTTTGTCTCACATTATAATAGATAAAAATATATTGTGGCCTCATACATGTCCATGCATACACACGTCACATACTCTTTACATGTTTGTCATAGTAACTGCTTTGTCGATCGTCTTAACAATAATGATTTCACTGTTCAGAACTTAGCAATAACAGAACGCAACAAAATTGATGGTGATAAACATACTATACTAGTATAGAGAAGAACAACCCTATAGCAAATCAATAATAGAGGTCTATATCTCTTATTGTACCCGTTTAACTTATCAGTGATCACAATGCTTTTTGTAATATGTCTCTTCTTGAACTAGTTTCTGGCGATGTGTCCTTTTCTTGAACTCGATTATTTTATAAAGACTCAAAAATTGTGTGGTATACTTCTGCTTTTGTCTAAATACTCGTGACTTTGGCAATACGTACTTCTCTTTAGTATAGTAGATAATGTTTTCAATGTAGCTTACATATGTATGTATTCTCATCATTTGGATCATTTGTCTCTACTATTATTATTCACGCTTGCGTGTCACGGATGTGATTTTTGAGCATATATGGACCCTAATGTCTTTTTATTACATTTCAAATAATTATTTTGGATTAAGGTGACCCTTCTTCTAGAGCACATTGGCCTTCGGCCTTGTTTGTTATGTGTTTTAGAAAACATCTCACAGAACAAAAATAATTATTTTTAATATGATTAATTACACATTGGTGACCAATTCTTCAAATTTATTTATAGCATTATGAGTTGGAAAATAATAGAATGGAATTATGCGAAGCAGTAGCGTATATGGTATAGCAGCTGAAAATACCTTTAAATTGATGATATATAAACGGTTCCAAGAGTTAGAACAATTATGCTTGCGATATGAAGTCAGACGTCAATATATTATATTAGTTATAGTGGACCGCAACATCATCATTATTTTCTCTAATGTAGCTATATAAACTGTAAAAAAAAGTTATGTAAATTGTTCTATACTTATACAACTCTATAAATGATTTACAGTCGACAAAAGATGTTTTACAAAGTTTATGCATAAAGCCTTTATTTTTAATCTCTACCTAACAAAGTTGCATGTCGTTGCATGAGAGAAAATGGCTAGCTATATAGCTCCAAAAATGTTAGTCACACCTAAGGAGGATTATACTAAAAAGAACTTCAGCATAGAAAAANTATACTTATACAACTCTATAAATGATTTACAGTCGACAAAAGATGTTTTACAAAGTTTATGCATAAAGCCTTTATTTTTAATCTCTACCTAACAAAGTTGCATGTCGTTGCATGAGAGAAAATGGCTAGCTATATAGCTCCAAAAATGTTAGTCACACCTAAGGAGGATTATACTAAAAAGAACTTCAGCATAGAAAAAGAACTACAGTTTTTGTTCCATTCAATATCATTTTGGGTTATATAATACCAAGTGATTACAACTCTGATTCTCTGAAACCTGTTCTATATGACATGGAGTAGCATTTCACACTTCGTAGTCAGTATTGACAGAGAGAACCAGATTTATCATTGTTTCCTTTCGAAGGAAAACGCGTATTTGTTACACTTTTTCATTGGGTTTTTATGTGAATAGAAAAATTAGAATATTAAATTAGTAATCCTCAATAATTGTCGATTATATAGAATAAACAAGACGGCGATAGAAGAATAAAGTAAGTCAAACTGAATTGTCCTGAACTCTGGATATGTCTTCAATAATCCAAATCAAGTATGCTAATTGCTATGAACAATCAAACGTTTTACAATCATTAAACAAAGATCCTTTAGATCTGTGGGGATGGCTAATATACGCTTTTCCTTTGCCAAAATTATATTTAGTATATTTCCTCTTGATCTCGACCTAAAGGGATATTCTTTCTAAAAAAAAAACAGTTTTGTTATATATATATATATATATATAGAAAGATAATGCATTGAAAATCACTTATAAAAAATGCTAAACAGAATTTTGCTCCTTTTGTAGAATATCCTCCAAAATAATGATGTTACCTGTTTATCAAAAAGAAAAATCATGTTATCTAAACCATCACTGCTCATCTTTTCTCTAAAGTAATTAATTCTCTTCCAGTTCTCGTTGGATAATGTTCTTGCAATATCACCTTTGATTTTTAAATCTGCCAAAAAACGGTTGCTTACAATTTTATGTAATAACTGCACCCATAGATGGAGAGCGTGGCAACACTCACATGACAAATGAAACTTAAGTATTTGTTTTAAATTAATTCGCAAAGCCTAGAGAACAGAATTGGTAGTGGCGACGACATGGTGAAAATTGTTTGCATAGTATACAATTTTTCTGCTTAGTCATTGCCAAACAAATCGAAGAAGTAGATATAAAGAAAAAACAATCATGGTCAATGATGTCAAAGAATGAGATACAATTTTCAAAATAGTGATTTTAAAATAACACTAGGTTTTTCTATTCAACTGACAGTTTGTAGTTATGTTTAATTTGTATTCTCAACCTTACATTCATATTTTTTATTAAAAAAAAACAAATGCAAGAGTCAGGAGTACTATGAATGATTAATACAAAGGATTTCAAATTTCACCAAAAGAAATACAAAGGATTACAAGAAAATTACAAGATGTTGAGATTGTGTTATGGTTTTCTTGGCCAATTCATTAGCTTTGAAAATATATATTTTTCAGCTTTGAAGATATTCCTTCAATTGATCTGTTAAAAAGGGTAAAATTCTCGTTCTTACTAGTTTTGACTAAATCTTGGATGGATAACGAAAACAGTTGTTATTCTGTATTTGTTTGGATATTTTTTGTGTTCAACTGATCAAATATCTACTTTGAATCTATCACGACAAGTTGTAGTTTAATTTCGAGAAACGCTTAACACCAAATAATAATGCATGAGCTTCAGCTGGTGTGGTTGTTGCTAAAAGACTACAATTCTATTTTGACTTACATACAGGATCCCGAATAAATCTATTTGGTGGTCTTTGGCATTCAACCAAAAAGCATCAAGAAAATAAACATTTTGTGATATTCCAGTTTTGAGTTGGTTGAGTTAATTGACAAAAAAAAAAGTTTCTGCAAAAAGAATTTTCTCAGTCTGGAAGAGCTTATAATCAAACAAAAAAAGATTACTAACTTGATTCCCACTTAACACAGATTTTTCTATTTGCTTCCCGGTTTCAAAATGTAAACGAACTCCAGTTGAAACTTGAGAAAGATATTTGCTAGCATATAATTACCCAAATGAATAGTTTAAACAGTCGTCAAAAAGTTAAAGGTTTCACAAATTCCTTTCTCTGTATAAGTTTGAGTATTCGTAAGACTGATGTTACACTTGTACACAAACAATTGTTCAGTCAAAAAAAAAAAAAATTGTTCAGTCAAATTTATATTCATTGCCGAAATAATCTGTAGTCTAAGTTTCTGTAGATACCTTAGTATTACACGTCATATCAGTATTGATCAATCGATTTTTTAGCATTCATGTATTCAATTGCCGAAAATGGTAAGATCCATTGTAAATGGACAGACTTACATTGTGTACTGATTTGGTGTGGTTACAGACTTGCCGTTTTAAATAATTACAAGTTAAATTTACTTATAAAACAAACAGGTCCGAGACTTCCAGTAAGAAAATTTACAAATTGAGTAACAATTCAATGTGATAAAAAGAGTAACAATTCGACTTAGAAAAAAATGGTGTGACTACAAAAATATAGATACAGTATATACCTATAGCCATATAAGTTAAAAAGTATATAGAAAATATTATACGTTAGAATTAAAGGAGTCAGATGCATATGAAATCTCTGCAATTCAGAGATGCCCATGGTAAGAAACTACGAGAAAACCCAGCTGTTAGTTTTGCATGCGAAATATTTAATTATTTAGTCTCTTTTGTCAACATTTCGTTATTTGTTAGATGTGCTCTGATTACTTAATCCCGTTTCACGAGGGAACTACTCCCAAATAAACAAGTACAAATAAAAATGATCCACTGCCGTACTTTATTTGAATTGGCTTATTCAGTTAAAAGAAATCTATAAATTAGATTTTGTGAGAATATGAAAAAGTAAATAGAATAAATGTAGATTTTACCTAAACTAAATAAATTTATTCATTCTATTAAATTATACCACAATTATTGAAGCATTCCACAAAACCTCATGATAGTAAATGAAGTCATAATCATATAATCTAACACATTAGAACTTCTTGAACAAGTCTACTTTGGCCTAGATTAACTCGATAACAAAGTTGGTTAAACAATTCAACAAAAAGTAATAAATATCGGTATTCATAAACAAGAGAGGTTGGCTGACTAATTATGTGAATATCTATATTAATAATCATAACTGACAAATGATATTATTAGACTAATTAATATTTACATTAAGAAAAGGAAAAGTGAGAAAACTAATCAATTTGTCAGACTCAGCACACAAGATCCACACATAGCTTAATTGTAACAGTTCCAATGGAATCTTTTTCTCTTTCTCTCTCAACCTCTAAACTCTAGAGAGAGAAACGCCACGTTGGTCATCGTCATATCACAGTAAACACTAGTCATCATTAATGAACACGAAGAAAAATCAAAGAAAAAAAAAAAAAAAAGCTAGAAACCAAACTAATCGTCACAAGAAGAATCTAATTCACACGTTGAAACTGATCTTAATCACAGCTTTCATTTAAAAACTCATAACATGTTACACATCTAACATTCGATCTAAAGAAGCAGCATAGAACCCCTTTATGTACACATGCGTATATGAAACTATCTACTTCGGTTTTCAGAAAAGACAAGAACATAGAGAGAGAGAGATTGGTGTTTGTTTTTTTTTTCTTTAAGAGTCGGAGTAATTATCTCTCCAGCAAATAAGCATGATTACGCATCTACGCATGATGTAGAAACGAGCTCTCTGTTCTCTAACCAGTTTCGCGCACTTCCTAGTAAAAGCGCATCTCCCCTGTTTCTGTGTCTTCTTGCCGCCACTTATGGGGATAGAAGAAGTTGACGAGGAGCGTGTGATCCTCGGCGCACCGCCGCTGAAACTGTCTTTCTTTGACAGCTTCCACGTCTCGTCTAGATGGAACTGCGGCGCGCTTCCCGATCGAGTCAGGCCGGACGATGCCATTGATGAATGTATAGAGATCTCAGCTTTTTTTTTACTGCTTTGTGTGATCTCACCAAGAAACTGATACTAATATTATTTTCTTTGAGCTTCTTGGAAATTGATGAACTCTGAGGAATTTAAGCTTTAAAAAAAAAAAAAACTTGAGAGATTTTCTAGGAGTTTGGAGATTTGAGTCAGCCAGGGAAAAGAAGTGTTAGGATTCCGTATTTATAATGGATATGTAGAAACAAAAAAAATCTAGAAAATAAAAAAAAGATCTAGAAAGGAAAAGAAAAGATATATATGTATAGATTGTATTGTTTTCTCAATTTTAATTAATTATTTTTGTTTTTGTATAGTTTTTGTCTTCTTTTGTGATAAATACTAGTATAAAATTAGAAGAAGGTGCAGAGAGTTGTGGCAGTCGGTATTGCCCGGGGCCTCTTTGTGCCTCGATCGACCCACCGTTACCTCCTTTTGAAAATTGCTAATTTGCTTGGGAATTGTCTTAAATAAACGTATCTATTAATCACATATTATAAAGTAAAAAAGTTCCATACAAGTTGAGATTTTTTAAAGAAATGTTGTTAGAAAATGTTTCGGTTGTTGTTAGTTTGTGTCAAGTCATCGTTGTTAATGTGGCAGAAAAATATAGATAGGTTTTACACTTTTACTAGAACTAGAATAGGACAACTGGTAGTGTTATTTGGTATTGTGGTTATGATATATTAACATAAATCGTAATATTTCCAAATTGTATAACATGAGACAAAAACAAAGTAACCTAATAATTTAAAAAACCCTAAGAAACTTAAAACTAAAATCATTTTCAAGTGAAAAAGATGATAGTTCTTTTATTTTAACGATGGAGTAAGTAGTAGGCATTTGACAGTCTATTAGACTTAGGATCAACTTCCTTTGACAAATACTACTATTTCTGTTTCAAAAGATATGAATGCTTTAAATCAGTATATACTTAATTATAAAAAATCTACAAAATAAAATTAAAATAGAAATTGATAATTATTTAATCAATTGTAAAATAGAGTTATCTAAAAAATATCTTACAAAAAAAAATCATATCAATTTTGGAATGTATCATCTTTCCAAGATAGCTTGATCTAGAACCGTAAGTTTAACCTCATGGACCCAACTAACACCTTTTAGATCATCAAAGTTAGTAAAGTTGCCTAGTAAACACATATGAGAAGTGGGTTTATTGACAGAGAAATATCAAAAACTGTGGAAAACAAAACTGAAACTTCTAAGATAGATCGCATATATAAGTTTTAACGACATTCCCATTTTAATATAAAAACATTTACTCAAAATGAGAAGTTTAAAGAGGAAGAAAAGTGAGGAGAGTAGAGGAAGATGTCTTTAAATGCATCAAAGCAAATCTAGCTGACCTCTCTTTTTCTCTGCGCCTATAACTGTAAATTACTTGCTTGGATCAATCAATAACTGCACCACCAATAACAGAACAGTTTTAAATCAATTATAGCGACTGGATTTGTGTATTGATATGTATTAGACGTATTTTATCTATGCACGGAGGAAATCGTTACTTCTTCAGAACTTATACGTCTCGATGAATCTTTATAGCTTAATGATTCTTAAATTATCTCTCTGTTTTACTGCGGTGAATATTTTATCATAAGGCATCGCTAGAGAATAGAAAAGGGATAGGAGGGAGGTTCAAGAAAAAAAATATGAAATTACACGGAGACGTTAAATAGCACGCCAGAAATGGACATATACATATGTATTGAACAAACTCATCAGTACGTACATCCAAAGTGTGTGATCCATCAATCAAAAGGATGCGACGTGAGCTCATTTTTACTGTTAACTTGTTTCTTATTGTTTGTCACTTTATTTTCACGGGTGGATTAAATGGATGTTAATCATAAAAATGTTGATGTGTAAAAAACAAGTGAAACTACTGTAATATAGCTAATGATATCGTAGTAATATAGTCATGATTCATTTCAACTCTTGTTTGTTATGTTTTGTTAATTTGATCCACTTAAGTTGCTTGTATCACACTAACCATATTTTGATACAACGATAGAACGTGAATGTGTGGTACGTAGAATGTTTTAGAGCACATACATCGCGGGACGCTT